ATAGATTAACCTCGTCAGTGTGAGTACAAGAGCTGGATGTATCAGCGTCACTCTAAAACTTTGTAGTCATCAAATATGAGCACTAAAAGTGATGGACAATCGTTAGGTGCAGGAGAGCGCATCTACCTGCACATCTATGACTACGAAACTAAGGTATGGGTATTTCTTATGGTTATATCAAAGTTATGTACTATTTTGAAGATTGAACACAGTTGGAATATCATTGAACACACTAGTTCAGGCATTTTGTCATCACTCCTGATCCTTCAAAAATGTATTTTAATTTTATTTCTTGTTATCCACAAGTGTAGTTGATTTTCTATAAAATCTAGTAGTTTATTAACATCTACTAATTTAGGAATTTTCTGGTCTTACTACGTATCATGGTTTAGTGCGCATTTATAACTCTAACACTTGGCCATCAAGGATCTTCTGGTGCGTCGTCGTGCTATCTTGCCTTTCTTTGTTTATGATTCATGTGAGTTCAAACGAGAGTTGTTTGCCTTTAAAATTATTAAGTTCATATATATTAAGCTAAGGTACTTCAGAATATAAAAGACGTTGTAAATTAAATTCATTATTGTAAGAGTTTAATCACAAACTAATTTTATTTGTTTGACTAGTTTGCATCATTTCTACACAATTTCAAATATGAATTCTATTGAGCTAGCAATAAGATAACTGATTGATCAACTTTAAAATTTTCTTAAGAAGTCTTTGCATTTTAATCCATGTAGGAAAATATATGATTTAATCGCAAGATTAAAATATTCATTCGGATACTTCAAAAATAATCTCTTTCAGAGCGGCTATCTCCTGTTAGGCTATCATTCCAAGCCTACACTCTTCCAAATAAACACCATAGTGGCACCAAATGGAATATACTTTCCCGACATCACTATTTGTAATCATAATCTAGTTCAACTAAACAGATTAAAGAGTAAGTTAACTGGTAGTAGCGTTCTCCACTATGCAACAGCCTCCATTATTCACACCTCATTGCAGAGTTTAGGATATAATATGTCATCGGCAATATTTTCTTATTTAACCACTGCATTCACTGACTATGCTACAGAAGACGAAGATTTGGAGAAACAGGAGATTTTTGAGGACTATGTGGCGAGTTATTTTGCTGCAACTGGGAGAAACTTCTCGATTGCGGAGTTTTTTAATGAGATAAGGTAATGTATAGAAAGAGATAATTGAAATAGTAATATACATTGTGGTAGAAGTTGGCTGAAAGCCAAAATTCAAGATTCTAAATGTAAATCGATCTTTAATATTTTTTTCTGGACAAACGCGATTTTGACCCTGAAAGCAGGTCTCTAGGCCAACATGTGAGGATGTGGTGCTTGCCTGCGGCTTTGCTGGACAAGCAATCGAGGACTGCTGTTCCTACTCCGACATCATCCCTACGGACATTGGATACTGTATCAGGTTAACAAACATTCACTGTCGCGATATCTACTCTGGCAATTAGCCAAATCTTCAACAAATTCATCGCTCAAAACTCCTCAGATTTGCCAACTCAAAATTGAATAAAACTCAATTTCTGAGTGGAAACAGTTATGGCTGGCAGTTCATCTTGGATGGAAATAACGCACAGGATCCAAGTAAGAAAGTAAAGCGTTTACATACAAAAAAA